ACCTAAGCAACTTTTGATGCTTTATAAGGCTCAGATCAGACCTTCTTCGGAGTATTGTTCCCATATATAGAGCTCCGCCCCTAAGCATACCCTGAAGCTGCTAGATTCTACGCAGAAAAGAGCCATCCGCCTGATTGGAGACACGAACATCACTTGCAACCTTGATAGTCTGGAACATCGAAGAAAGGTTGAAAATACTTTCGCGGAAAGTAATCAAGTGACTTGGCACATTGGATTCCACCAAATCAAAAATACAAGACGAACTGTGGCTGCTGATCGTTTTGAGGTTCAACTCAGTACACCTCGAACTTAACTGTTCGAGAACTCTTTCATTTTGGAGAATTGCGCTCGAGTGGAATAAACTTCCTGTGAACGTTTTTCCAAATGGATTGAATCTACAGCGTTTCAAATCCAATGTGAATCGCTAGTTTCGCAGTGGCACCGTTCTGAGAGCGCCTTAAGGAGAAGTGCACTACCTCCTGTAGTGCTTGTGTTTTTTGCATATATGACTAATAACCAGTCCGTGCAAAGCTTATTGTTGAATCATCTGAAAATGGAATTTTTAATAGGTGATGATCGAATGTCTTGCAAAACATGCGCCAAACTAACTGTCTGTTATAAGAAAGCAAGTATATCTGAGGCACCAGTCAATCTAATAATAACACTGATGATCTTCAAACAAGACTCAACCTCTGACGGAAGCAAGAAACTCTTTCGAAGGTTCAAAATAGATGCACATTTCAATCTAGGAGACCACTATTATAATATTCATGCAGTCATTGTTCACTGTGGTTCTGGCGTTGAATTTGGTCATTATTACGCCTTGGTCAAAGACGAAACGGACTGGTTTAAGTATGACGATAGTCATGTCACGAAGTGTTTTGCCGATGTATTGAAGTTATTGGAGCCTCCGGAGACACGCTACATTTTGTTTTATGAGAGAGAGGACATTGGCAAATCAAGATCTTCAGATGATGTGGTGCTGCAGGTTTTTCCGGGTTTTCCTGCAGCTGAAAAAGCAAATGCGCCACTGGAATCAATGAAGTCGCCCCAAGGCGCCAATTAATTTTTATTCTTGTTTTTATTTTCATTGTTGTTGTATAATAATTTCAGATAATGGAAGAAAAAATTGAGTCCTCCAGTTTTGATGCATAACCTGCAGAGTCGAATGAAATTTCTTTCGAGATTTATAAATAATGAAATGTTATTTCGTATTTCTTACAACACAACATGGATTCCTCTTAGCAATTTTTATTTATTATTATATTGTAGTTCATAGACACCCTCATTTACATGGTTCCTGGGACCGCGTTTGGGAATTCTTCCATCCTTTCTATTCATTTTCGTTTGAGAATATCAATAATTGAAAATTACAGTACTTGGTAAGCAAAATGTGGTGGACCGCTATCTAACTGAAACCACATATTTCTGCGCAAGTTTAAAGATACCTTTCAAAGGAAGGCTGGCATATGGTTTTGCGAACATCGTAAAAACTGTTGCTAGTCTAATCTTCAGTTAGCTCAATTGGGTCAAATGATGTATTACCAGCTTACCAATTAATAAATAACTGATGCTGAAAGCAATCATTATTTACTATTCGTGGGTATGCTACTACCCAATAGTGTGAATTGTGTATGTTGAATATTTCTGTGCAGTTTGATTCATTTGTCCATAAACTTGAATTGAAAAAATTGGATCAGCTCTGATTCTTTCAAGCATTTCTTTACAAAATATTACTCCTTGTTGATGGTCTTGTGATGGAAGGGCTTTATACACGATGGATAAGGTGAAGGTGGAACAATTGCCTACGCAAAATTCGCGAAACTGGGTATGTCCCAGTACCACAAGTACCTTTGAACTTCATACAATAATATTGGATTTACTGGCATTTATCTTCAAACAGTGATCTGAGGCAGATTTAAGGAAAGCATCAATGTCTGTATTGATGATAATGGAGACAGTTTCTTTGTCTTTCGGAGGAAAGCTGTAGTATATTTGCCTGTCATCCGAGCCGAACATTTTTCAAAAGAATCTGTGAGACCTGAAGTGTATATGGTGAACAATAACGGCCCAAAAAACGGATCCCTGGGGTATAACACCCCGAAGATTCTTATACTCACATTGGTTATTATCCAGATTGAACTGTAGGAAGCAATGAACATTTTTCCAGATGACCACGAAGCTACACTTTGATAGCCCTCTTCAATACTTTGGACGATGGATGTCCTTAAATTCAGTAGAATTACACTTCATGAGAACTTTATTCTGATGTTACATAAAGTTGTGCAGACGAACAAATTATCAACCTTTTCAAAGTGGAATGACACATTCACTTTCTGATTGGTTTTACATTCAAAAGTTCGTCAGGTGGTTCATCGATTTGTAAAGAGTCAGTTGAGAATGCATTGACCTCATTTGGAATCTTTGATTGTTCAGGTAAAATGCTGGATTCTGTTAGTGTAGACAACATTTGTTTTTTCTTACAATTACTAAATCTATGAATAAAATACGCCCTTATTTCCTTTTCTTATTGCTTTGTTGACATTGTTCCGCATATCTTTATAAAATTGAAAATGGTGAACTGATTTCGTTTTCTTCTAGTTCTTGAGAGCTTTATTTTTCCTGGAAATTATTTCTTTTATAGTATCCTTCAACCAGAAGGCTTTTGTTTTAGTTACTCTAGAGGTTATGAAGGGAGCATGTCCGTCAAACAAACTCATGAGGAAATTCATTGAAAAATTTATTTTGTCATCAACTCTCGCCTGGTCAGAAAGTAAGTAAATACAAATCTTCTGAAAATGTTCTTCATTGGGATATTTGAAATTTCTACAAGTGAAAATTTTTGGTTTTTTGAACTCAACAGTTACTCGTAATTTACAGAAAACATAGCCGACTGGTACGGCAGGCAATAAAGATCCACAAACACACGGAGAATTTCAACCGAAAAGAAGAAGCGGTGCACCTCAATCAAATGTGGAACCCCATTTTAAGGAATTCGAGAATAACGAACAGGACAACAGGCAGCAAGAGTGTTAATGTTCCAAGTTCAACTGCAGGAACGAGTACAGGTACAAATGCAGATATAAATACAGGTACAAATACAACTGATCACCTGACTAGGCATAAATAAGCGTTACGAAGCTGAAAAGGTAGTCATCGGACAGCAAGCCATGATGGTTAAACCTCTGAAGAAGCAAGCCACTCGCGCCAGCGAAACGTCAGGAAAAAATTCCAAAAATCCACTGCTTTCAAACTCGAAAAGAAATGACACTGAAAACTCAGCCGTTAAAGTCTAAACCATTTTGTCAGAAAACATGATTAGATGTACCACCGCTATCAAGCACACCTTTTTTAATTACTTATTTGTCGTTTGTTATAATCAAATTAAGAAGACATGCAGTTATATTAGTTACTCCCGTTGGACAATCCACAATTTGATTCAATTCAAAAGTCTTCAATACATAATGGAATATTTCAACGTTTTTATTTTCGAAATCGTCTAGGCATGGATAAATTAGGTTTGAAGTATTTTCAAATGCGTCCACGAATGTTGAAACGTCTTGCTGTGGGGGCCTGTATATGACGCCAACTGCTAACTGATATTTTTTTATTGAGCCACAACTGTTCGTGGTTAATACTTTTAAGAGATATAATTTCACATTTTAGAAAATATCGAACATATACAGGGTGTTTATTAAGCATGCGGCAAAAAAATTAAGGGAATATTCCTTGGACTATTCTAACGACAATAACAATTGATTACCAAAAATTACATGTAACGTTTCTCAATCTACAAGTACTTTTCAAAATGACTACCTCCCAAGAATCCAATCTTCTCGTCATTGACTCCCGAACTCTTCCAAAAACTCCAGGATCGTTTCTGATTGCGTTACACCTAGGAATTATCCGATTTCTTAAATCTTCCACATCTTCCACTGGAGTAGGATAAACTAACGAATTAAGGTGGCCCCATAGGAAATAATCCAGGCGGTTCAAGTTCGGTGATCGAGCAGGCTCTGCGTTACTATAGCCCCTACGAACGACAACCCTCAGAAGTCGAAACTTGTGTGAGCTAAAGACTATAGAGGTCTTACAATTTATTTTGTGATTCTTAAGACGGTCGATTCATACAAATGATCATTTTGAATGTCTGCAGCCGTTTGTAGTATACGGAATGTTGTTGATAGGTACCATCGGAATTGTTAGATTTTTCATTCCGTGGTAAGTCCAATATAGTATCTATACTTTTATTTCGGCTACGTTAATAATTATAAAATGACCAAAATTGTTATTGTAAAAATTCGTTTTCGCCCCGTATCTGCGAAACAAAGCGCCAAAAATCATCAGTGGACAAAATATCCTCGGAATGGGCCAACGAATAGTCCTTCAATTTTTTACCGCATATTTAATAAACACCCTGTATACACACATACCTCCACATCTGCAAAGTATGGATGATATAATAAGCAGAATTATCGACATTATTGCTTGCTCTATTCGCGGGCAGATGGCGCTGTACGTAACCTCCTTGATATAATTCGAACTCACTTTACATGAATTTCTTCATTCGAAAAAAGTATTTTATTTTTAACATGCGCGCCTGCCGCCTTATTTGTAACCCTCCTTTGCGCGCCTGCTGCCTTCCTTGGGCTTGGTAGCTGATTTTCAGGCTCATTCTTCGGAATCGGAAAATATCAATGGTCATTTTTCTAAACAATATACGGCTGATTGATCCCAAAGTTTAGATAAAATAATCTGCAAAATAGCTTCCTCATCGCAGTTGAAACGTTTGGAGATTATAACCAATGAACACGGCAAAACCCGGAAACTAACCAAAACAAAAAAAATTCGAATTGCCAGACTGCATTAATTATTTCTATAAGCTGGGCATTTCCGATTCCTTTAATATCCCTTGTAATTGTTATAAGCAGCAAAAAGCAATCGCGAATTTCCTCATTTCTATGAATTATAAAACCTAAATCTGAAGTATGAATACTCACGTAGGTGTAGGTATTTGACTTCCAGGGGTGAAAGGTGAATCGTTGGCGTCATAAAAATCTTCTTCCCCCTCTGAACTAGAATATGACATGTCAGGTACCGCCAAAGATGTAGGTACCACTACACCTGAAAAACATAATTGAACTTTATTTATTCTCCAGGAACATGCCAATTTTTTATCAGTATCATAAGGCATTCATGAAGATTGTTCAACAAACAAATTAAAAAAATTCATTAATTTTATTGAATAAAATAAAATTCGTCATACGAATAATGTTTATTATAATCATGTCAAATGGTTCTGTAAATCATCCAATATGTCGTTCTACATATTAATATGCTGTGATTTAATCTGCATATTTTATTTTAAGATGGTGAAATACAGGGTGTAACTGAATAAGTGTAAAACATTCAAGGAGGTGATTCCTCATCGAAAAAAAGATAGGATCTTTCATATAAAAAAACTTCATTGGAGCATCCCTTGTTAAGATACAGCCCCTTAAAGGGGGTACTTAAAATTTGTATCAAGAAGAACGTC